CACCTCTAAAGCTCACTAATGATCACAAACCAAGAGGCCTGACGAGCAAATTTTTTGCAATGTTGTACACCTTAAAGGACCAGTGTATAGGATTTAGTGGCATCTAGTCATGTTGTTCACTCACTTGTTTCACCCTCTTTCAAACTCAAGGGAAAAACTTGCAGGATAAAAAAGCATACCGTCCTATCTAGAGTGAGTGTTTGGTTTGTCCATCCTGGGCTACTGTAGAAGCATTGCAGTCTAACATAGCAGACTCAACAGCCCACGGTGTCTGTAGATAAAAATGGCTCATTTTAAAGTAACAGAAACACAACAATTCCTATATTCAGGTGATTATACTACTACTACTATTATACTATTGAAAACATACCTATAGATATTGTATTCCATTTCTGCCAATAGACCGACCTAAATGTTCAAACCGGACCTTTAAAGAAACAACTTTTATGACTATGATTATGTTAAAACAATTTAGACATGCTTGTAGGTGGCTATGTTAACTTTGCACAGAACCAGGCTAGTTGTTTTGTTTTTCGGGCTTAATGCCAAGGGCATACACAATTGACTGCTGAGAGGTTTTGTGTGTGTGGTAGAATGCAGGGACAGCGACCATAGCACTGAGTTTAATAAAAATATTAAAGTTCTGGTTTCATGTAAAACAAACCTGTGGATGGACACACAAGGTGGCTTGAAGAACATTGAGGGGTCGGTGCCCAGCTCCTTAGCCACGTCAACACACGTTTCCCTTGGCATGCACTGGGTCCGCTGCCACTCTTCATCAATGGCTAAATGGGAGACACACAATGCTCATAACCACATCAACACACGCAAACTCACGTGTAACATGTACTATGTGATGTTTATCCAACCTTTAAGTATTTCCAGGCTGTAAGATTCGGCAGCGTAGCGTGTGGAGCGGTGTGAGCCTACTGAAGGTGGAGAAGAGAGGTTCTCTGGCTGCTGCAGTCTCAGACGACACTTCCATAACTTCCAGTCAGGAAAGTCTGTGAGCCTCAGCAGCTCATCCAGGCTGGAGGCTGACCGCACCTTTCTTTCCCACTGCTTCATTACCTGCAGGGATCACAGTCAATCATCATTTAATGTTTGTTTAATTTGTACAAAAGCCAGTCGGTCAGATGGAAGTTGCTGCTCCCTGCCAAGCAATGTGTTTAGGGTATTAGCCAATCACTTGTTCATTCATTCACTACTTCCTAATAGACAATAAATACGTAGTTATTTTATGTAGACACTGACAGCTGCACAATGTTACATTGTGGAATTTTTGAGGCCACTACATCGTGGATGCATTTCACACGCCAAAATGGTGGGAGGAAAATGTAGTGCACATTAGCACTGTCACAGTAAGCGCATTAGCTCAAAATTCTGCTGTGTCTAAGAACAGCCTCACATATGGCTAGAGTCTTGTTAGAAAATGAAACATTGTAAAAAAAAAAATAACAGCCCTGGCTCAAATGAAATGCATTTATATCTACATTATGTGCTTTATTTTCGGAGAACATATGGCTTAGACTAAGGATGAGCTGATATGACATTTGCTGTAGTGTGGAGTGACTTGGAGCACTTGGCCTGATGTCACACCCATTAGTCAGTGTGATTATCAACAGCTGCAGCAGCAGATTTGTGTGTCTGCCTTTATACCTCTCTGTCTCTGAACACTGCTCATTCTAAAATTCCATGACCTTGCTACCAAAACGTATGCATTATATACAGTAGAAGAACGACATGCTATCGGATTTAAACCCAAGACATCTGAAAACTAAACTACCAGCGTGCACTTTGAGAGAGGGCAGCGGTGCTATTCACTTAAAAGCACATTTACACACGCATACATACTGTTCAAAGTATCAAATTATCCTTGGCACCTCTCCATACAGAGGAGAAGACCTGTGATTCAGGGGTGGGAAAACATCATAAAACCGCCTGTCATGCTACCGCAGAAGGGCAAAGTTCCCATGATGACATAAACCAGAACAAAATGGAAGCAGAAAAGATTAGACCTATATGGTTTGGATAAGATATGTGATAAAATGCACAGTAATCTCTTGCACTTCATTTAAAATGATGTCCCAAGTGAAAGGTTTTTACTGTTTTGTTTTTGTTTTAACTTCTTAGACTTTGAAGAGCCAAGGGTGTGATCTAGAGAGGAGAGGAGAGGATTTGGGTAAAATGTAGGTCTTCCCAGCCTCATTTTTGAGGCGGGAAAGCCTCATAACAGATGATAGGTCTACAACCGGGGTGGAGAACAGTCATGTAATATTGCACTTGTCTGCACAATGTTTGCTTTATTTCCTCTGGACAACTATAATGATCTGAGCCCTTTGATGTGTGTTACAGAACAGAGGGTGGGGCAGGTTAGCTGGCTGACTGCTTCCACTTAAATCAGAGAAACAACAGAAAATTGGGAGGTTTCCTAATTTCTACTGGGGGATAGACCCACTAATGAGAAACAGAAAGGGAGAGTGACTGAGAGAGGGACGTGTAAAGATGGGGGGGGGGATTGAAGTAGTTCAATAATCCTTCTGACGCGGATCCTGATGTTGACGTATAGTTCCTCTTTTAACCACATGCAAGCGCACACATGATTATTGACAATTTTGGCTTCAGTGGACAGACCACAGTCAGCACAACTGGTCAAGGGTGACATTTATGAGATAATGAGTGAGAAGAGGTAAGAGGCTAAACACTGTAAAAGTGAAATCAAGCCCTGAATGCATCAGGAATATAAGAATAATGCCGTGTTGTAATTTCTGCCCTCTGGTTAGATGTTAGATAATAAATTAACGTTATGTTTAGTACCAAGGGGAACATGTTAGACATCAGCTACAGAAAGCGATTGCAAGAGGCTTCTTACATTTGATACATATTACATACACTTAAAGCTTCATGCCACACTTACCCTGCTTCCTCTCTCCCTGTGCACGCTGTGGCCCACGTTTATCCAGCTCAGCTCCACCACCAGAGTCACCAAACAGGAGATTCTGCACAGAGTCCGTTTCATCTTCATCATTATCCCTTGGCTCTGCTTGCTTTCTCAGAGAGGCACTCAGAAGTATGGACTTTTACTCCTTTTTATGCTGGCAGGAAGCACTTAAGAGCTGGCTGCTTTTCTGACTCAGTTTCCCAGACCAGCTGAGTCCCTCAGACCACACACACTCAGTCCTCTCAGTGCAGGTATGTGCAACACAGACTCTTGATCTTCCAGCTGCACAGTAGAGTGTGTGTGTGTGTGTGTGTGTGTGTGTGTATAAGCCAGACGTAACCTGTCACAGCAACCCAGACACCCACGAGCCAAATGGAGAAGGCTAAAGAGGCTTTAAAACATGCACCTCTTAGGCTTTGATGCAGAACCTGAGGTGTTCAGTTAAATACAGAGGCTACTAGAAGTTAGAAGCTGAAAATTACCTTAGAAAAAATTAAAGTCAAGCTCCCCTTGAAGACGTCTCATCAGCACGCTCTCTTTTGTCCAAATGGATTGAAGGCCTGTGGGATATTTCAGAGCCCTAGCTAGATTATCTAAAGAAATTCCTGTGTTCAAATGTTGTTCTTCTTTATTATCCCACTTCCTGACTGGCTGACTTCTGGCTTCTTTTAACTGCTAATTTCAGTGCTTACAATATCTGTATGTTAAACTTCCTCTGTCTCCAGATCCTACTGTGGTTAGTCCGTATAAAAAGGCCCTGAGGTGCAAGAGTAGCGACACAATTCCTTCCTAGAAGATGTGTGCTAACTCTGAAAAAGCTATGAGAAGCTGTCTGTCTTGGTGTCTGCCCTTATGTCTCTCCCACTGCTGCTGGTCCTGCTGCCTCAAAGCTCGCCTTTTTATTTGCTTGTGTGTTCCTGTCTTCCTTTTTTAATGCTTGTTTGTCAAGTGATCAAGTCCCCTGCCTGTTAAATCCCCTATCAGTGTCTTTTCCTCTGGACACAGCCGTAGAGCCGTAACATGTGTTTTAAATGTGATCCAGACCTCTGTAACATGTGAGGGGAAATGGGAAGCCGGCACCACCCCTGTCCTGCCAATACCCCACCCACTCGCCCATCCAGGCCCATTTGACTTAGGATGTAATCGGCCAGGAACATACATAATGGAGGAAATATGAGAACAATATTCATAATTTGTATGCAAATGAGGAACAGCAGTTTGGGCATTATCTGCTCATAATATTTATGACATAACAACAACAATACTTTAATGTGGTCTGTAAAGATTTTTGGTTATTGAGGTCATGTGATATCAAGCAGCTTGATTCCTTTTGTTTTACAGCAGCCGGATAAATTAGGTTAATGTCTCTTTAGCAAATTCCATGTCACATTAATGTGTCAAACATCAAATCATTTGTAAAACCTTTATACTTACTCATATGATGCTAAATAATCTTCATAACAACAATGTATGCAAAACAACTTGCATACATTAAAAAATGTCAAAAATAAAAGTCATAACAACTCTGTTACACTGTTATTTAAAACAGCAGAAGGAAAATGTAATAAACCTTAAATTTAACAAGGGGCGTGGACATAGGTTAGGAGCATTTTCCATAAAAATCTATATTTTACAAGAAAGGGGTAAACTACTACACTACTAACAATGCGGCATGTCGTCCACTCCTACACGAAAGCACTACGTAAAGAGTTCAAATAGAGGATGGAAAGTACTAAATGTCCTGTAAACACATACAGCACATACACTAAAAAACATCATACTTTTGCCATTATTCAAATATTTACCGAATACATATCTCTATAAATGTGCTCCTATAGAAGCAAACAACTAAGGCAAAGAATTTCACCAGGGCCATGAGTGCAAACTTAAGTGTTCAGAAAGAGTCTCTGATCTTGGACCTCCAGTTTACAGCCCTTTCAAAGCCATTTCTGCCGGTCTGGTAGTCCCTGATAGCCTGCCTGATCTCTTCTTCTGTTGTCATTACAAATGGACCTGAAGGACAGACACAACATAGGAAAGTATTTTACATTACAGGTATTGATTAAGTTCTGTTTTTGAGCAGCATTTCCTTTGTTCAGTGACTTGCTGCCAACATGCAACTTTGCAACAACGCAAACGACGTACCTTGTTGTACCACAGGCTCTTTGATTGGTAATCCAGCGATCAGCACAAAATGGGAAACTTCAGAACCCTGAGGAGAAAAAAAGAAGGAGTGCTCTTCATCTTTGTGTGAAATGGACTGACTACTGCCTTTCATTTGTATTTTTTTGATTTAGTGGTTCCAAGCCTTGAGATCTGGGCCTCCCAACAGGTACCAAGAAAAAGCTGTGGAGTCACAAGATGACTAAAGAAAGAAAATCAAAAACAAAATAGCAGCCACAGCTGGATTAGAATGACTTGGTAATAGCATAGTCTGCTTTATTGTCTATTTTACTCTGAATGGGACCATAATGTACTAAATGAACATCATGCTGTATGGAAGAAGACTTGAGCAATAAACTCATTAGGAAACCTTTTACTGAGGTAATAAATCAAGGGAGAAGTGGGGTAATTTTTTTCATAAGACTCCATATTATCTGACCTCCTTTTTAGAGCCAGTTGTGTCGCCTCCTGATGGCCAATAGAAAGAGTACAGGTTTAAGGCACTTCCACAGTGGATTTACTTTGCAGACTGTCAACAATCCATCCTATAATAAACCTGAAGCTCCTTCTGAAAGATGGATGGAAACCAAAGCTGATATCAAATGTATTCAGGGATTCCACAATGGATACCTGAGAAGGCCACATGGCATCTTCTGACCTAACAAGATTTAATCCTTGGAACAGAAGAAACATAGCACATAATCACCAAAGTAAGGCAGAGGAGACTTAGGTGGACCATATGCCATATGAGATGGACTCTGTCAGGAAAAAGGAAAAGGGGAAGATCAGGGGGCTATGACTAACAATGTGAAATGAAAAACTTGGGAACCACTGGTTCTGATACAGATAACTTAAGCCACTCACCTTGTTTTGAACTTTGACACAGTCTCCATCTCCAAACACCACAGTGTGATGGGGCTCGACCTTCTGCTGCTCCTGATCTGGGCCTTGAAAACAAAAGAGTTCACAGTTTTGTTCTTCATTTTAAATGGTTCTAGGCATATAATGTTTCAGTTCAAATCTGAACCTACTTCATTATGATTTCAATGGACTCCACCTACTGCAATACTCAATACAGAATACCATTATTTTTTAATGATTTTATTGATTTTATCTTCTCTTTATATTGGTGTTAATTCCCAATAAAAATGTGTAAACCCATCCATACCATTATTTTCATGCTAAAAACAACTCAAACATATATATTGCCTCATAATACCAGATAATTACAGCCACAGTGAAATGGAAGAGAACATGAAATGTCAGGCTACGACAGTTCTTCACATTCAATTCTGGCAGAACTGGATTGTTATGTCATGTTAGGAAACAAACCACATAATAAACATGTTATTTAATATGATTAATTAGGGTTTGTGGTCTTGGAACTCTTTTTGATGTATTTCTAAAAAAACAAATGGGAATCTAAGACTTTTGGGAGTAGGAGCTTCTCACTGGGGGAAAACAAAAAAAAAGCAAACATTGGTAGGCTTTAAAATATGGATGGTCAATTAGAGCAACAGGGAAGAAAATTAAATTAAACCTGTTCAGACATTGGTATTACTATTTCATTTTTCACCTAGAACTAGCTTACTTGCTGCTTATGGGCTGACGTGTGTGTCAGTAGTAATAATTACATTTGTTTCACGCATCATTTCAGGATACCACAGGTATAGGATAACAAAACAACTGTGAGTTAAATAGAAATATATGCACCAGCGTGTTTCAGACATTTTGACCTGGTTTAGCACTTGCACGCTGCAACACTTACAGTACAGTACTGACACTAAATGCTGAAAAAGCCAGACACTTCCACTTGTGGTCGATGCATTCATCAAAGCCAGCTGGTCTGGATTTGGCCAGACTACATGTAGAGTTGGACACTTAAGATTCAAATAACTTCTTTAATCACAGCAACCATTTTCATCTTCTCGTGTCATCAAAACATCTGCCAGCAATTACAACCAGTCTGAGAGATCCTGCAGTTTAACGATGGAGAATAACCAAATCATAATGAAATTTTATTAAAGAGCAATAAAAGGGGAATTCTGACTGAAAACAACAGGTTCCAACAAACCAAGAAAGCCTCTGACAATAAGTCCACTGTCTGAAAGGGTTTGTTCTCATGCAAGGGGAATTCCCTGATCACAAAATGTCGACCAATAAGCAGGACATGCAGCCTTTCATAATATGTGAAACAGCAACAATGATGCAAAAGGGCGTAGCTAAAATATGTGGGCAAGGGGACTGATATGGAGCCAAACTCTGACACAGTCATATTTTATATACAGTAGCACAATCATTTCTCCAGTGATGTTGGGTAAATTTCAGATTGAACTGGTGTGGTCTAAAGTCTGAAGAGATCATAGTTTAGTGTCAGTATGAATCCATCAAGCTTTAAAGAGGAACACATGGACATTCTGGCGAATGTAGGGGGGAAGATGTGATTGGACTGAGATCACACACATATTTCTAACTTAGATATGGCAGAAGGAAGAACAGGGAGGAAAGTGAGGGAGTGATCAAATACCGTGAAAAGAGTGCACATATACAAGAATGTTTGTATCACCCTGGTTATTAGTGATTTCTTCTTCTTATATTAATCCAAAGTGTCGGACAATATGAGACAGGTAATGTTTGGTATGCATTCAAGGAGAAAAAAAAAGGTTGTAAAGCAGGCTTGCGAAACTCACCAACATGAATGGATCCTGAGAGTGTGTAGATAAATGTAGTCCATCCTGTCAAATACAGAAATATTATTCTTAGTATATGTGTACTTAAGAAGTTGTTGAACCAATTTAAAACAGTTCTCTGCTCTAGAACCTGCACTAGATTTTGGCCACTGAAGGGCAGCAGAAACAAGTTGTGAACACAAAACTGACATATCATCGCCTTTTAAGTTGATACACTGAACTTGTAAACAGCTAAAGGCGGACAAGAGTAAATCTGGGACTGGCTTTTAGTTGTTGGCGAGAGCTTTGTGAAATAAAAGGCAAATGGCAAACTGCCCTTCTTGCTGTTGGAATCGTAAGATTAGCTGCAAGTGCAACAACACAATACATACTTGTGTTGTTGCACTTGACTGAAGCTGTTGACTCTCTAGTTTTTGATCATAAGTAATGTAATCCTAACAAATGCACATGCCGCTGTCCATATTTATGATTTATATTTTTATAAATGAACTGCACTCTGAAACTGGGGGCCCTTAAACTTAGACATCAAATGAGCTTTTTACCCAAACTTCACAGAAAGTTAAGGTTTGGTCAACTTTGGAAATTCAGCACTCACTGCAGGCTGCACAGGGACAGATATACTCATGATATATAATGAGGTTAAGGGCAGTGGAAAACAGCTTATTTAAATGAAAGTGTCTCTCTTGGTCCTGTCCTCCAACAGCTTTACAAGCTTTACGAGCCCTGAGGTGTTTCTGTTACAACTGTAAATGTCTGCTGATGAACATTTTATCCACATTTCACTTACTCCTCCACAGTTAGAAAGCAGTCTTTGATCACAAACCTAGAGTGAACCTTTTGTATACTGATCCTTCTGAATGGAGCCATTAAAATGCAAACGTTTGAGATCCTCTACATCTTTTGAACAGTGGGCACTTTGCATCACTTGTTTTGTTGCTTTTCACCAAAATAAACGGATTCTATTAGCAGTGTTTTTATTTCCATGTTATGTTCCCTAGTATCATTTATTGTTCCATTTCTTCGTACAAAAGCACAATATTCAATAAGGTTTTACGTAAACAGGATTGTCTCATAGCAAAGACACATAGTACATAAATGCTTTGTATAACAGGAAGAATGGATGGCTGAGGATTAGTCAGAGCCCAAAACAACCATGAGATGCTTTAGTGTAAGCATTCATGAAGACCAATCTCGCACTTTTGTTATCAACCATTTAGAGACACACTGTGGTGTATTTATAAATGTCTCCTACCTGAGGGGACTGGCTGCATATGCAGGGCCCCTGCCTGCAGTCTGAAGTCCAAGTACAAGGTTGGTGTCCTTGTGAAGACTTTAGACTATGGGAAAAGTAAAAAGGAAGACAATTAATAACTTTCTCTTACACACACATCTAAGTACCTGCTCTTCTGTTCCCTGCAAATGGGTTGTGAACAACAGGTTAAAGTGGCATTTCTCTGTTGCTACCTACATAATATTATTATCTGGCTTGACACCCTACTCATAGTCACATGTTTTTGACCTTAAAGAAACTCTCAGCAGTTCGGATTTGAAAATAGGAAACATGGACAAGAAAGTGAGGAAAATATAGGAAATGAAAGTGCCTGCGTTTTCTTAGAGTTCTTTGTTCCTATTTTGTGCAGAATTACTATCATCTGTTAAAATACAACAGATACATGGCTTTTTTTCAGAGGTGGGAAGTAACACAGTACTGTGCACAGAAACAGCCGGTTGAAATGGCCTTAAGACAAACCAAGAGAGTACTTTTTACTTTCATACTCTTTTACTCTTTTACTTTTGCTTGAGTAAAGAAGTTGAATCAGTACTTCTACTTTAGTAGAGAGGTTACTTGAAATTCAATTACTCATTTCATATTACTAACTGAAAAGGTAATAAGTTACATTACTCGCCACATTATTTCGGTTACTCAGCTCTGCAGTAACCCTTTTACTTTTTATAAACACACACACAGACAAGCAGAGACACACCTTTGCTCCTAAAGCCTCTCCAGATATCACAGCGACTGTAACTCCTCCCTGGCTGGGTTTGGGGATCTCAGAGCCTTTAAGTTCCTGGTACGCTGGTTCCACCATCTTGTCTCGTCTTGGCAGGTTCACCCACAGCTGTAATCCCACCACCGGCTCCTCTGACATGGGCATCTCAGCATGGACCACACCCCGTCCTGCAGTCATCCACTGGTGGAGATATTTTAAATATAAAATAAAGACACACATTTTTATACATACACTCATATGAGTGTTCAGTATTCAATATTTGCATTGCTCTTTGTTGAGGATATAACATTGTATTTGTATAATACATTTTTGAAAGTTTTTGGAATGGTAATGCCAATCGGTTGGCTGGTCCACCACTTTGGTCCCAACTGAAATAATTTAACAACTGTTTGGGGAAGTTGAGGAATTGTACTGACATAAATGTTGTTCAAGGCATGTATTGTTGTAACTTTGGTGATTCCCTGACTTTTCATCACAGCAGGTCAAGGTTCTTACTTATTCAGTAACCCATTACAGTATCTTCACATCTTCAAACTGGATTTCCACAAAACACCCAGTTGTAATATATCCTAATCACCCCTGACTTTTCATCTAGCTATATTAGATGGATCACCATGAAATCTGGTACAGACATTCATGTCCACCTTAGGATGAAGTCTAATAACTTCAGTGATCCCCCTAACGCAGCTTCGGTTGTACTTTGTGTTTAGTACTAATGTTAGCATGCTAACACACGGTGAACATGTTAATCATTATACCTGCTAAACATCACCATGTTCACAATGTGAGCAAATTAGCGTGCTGATGTTAGCAGTTAGTTCAGACCATGGAATAGTGATGCATTAATAAGTCATCACCTATTAATATTTTAAGGAAACCACATGAACCATAGGATAAAGACATTACACAAACTATCTTTTGACAAATGCTGACAAACAGTATTACACAGAATGTATGATCAATACTACTATTATGTGATTTTCAGTAAAATATAGATAGATTCTTCTGATAGGTTCCTGAATATAAAAATATCATAAATACATTCCAAAATATGGAGCTGGGTTCAGATGTGAAACACTGGTTGAAATGAAGTTTGGTTTAACAGCTTCTGCTTTTAATATAGGTCAGCTGTAAATTTCCATTCTCAAGCTTTGCTTTAATGAAGCTGGCCACTGATCTGTGACTGTTCATTGTGTTGTTTGGTTTCTTTTATTGCTGTGATCTGAGTATTTACTGTCACGGATCTACTGGATAATAAAACATGCTGAATACAACAGAGAATAACTACAAATCCAGAGAACATATCTGTGCTGTGTTTGTTGTAATCAGAAGATCAAATTAAATTTAAAATATCTTATATGAAATAATAATAATATGCAGTCTAACTTCTAATAGGCTGCCAGTTTGGGTATATAAAGTCCTGATAAAGATTTACTTTGTGCAGATAAGATAAAACAATATGGGGTAACTAATTTAAAAGTTACCAATGTTAAGTTAGTTTGCTTCCAACTACACTTTTTGTCTGTGATTTGAAAACATTTTAACATTTGCCCTTGCTTTAATCTAAGACAAGACGTTATGTCCGAGCCTACAGAGGGTGCACATAATGGGTGAGAGCAAATTTAGCTGAACTGACTGAACTTTTTGAAGCTGAGTCAGCAACTGTGTGTGTGTGTGTG